ATACGACAAAAAGACTGTCTCAAAATCGCTTTTATTTACTCTCTTGATCTTACCGATTCGATTCGACTCGATCAACCAACCAACCAATCGGCAACGCGGAAAAGAGGCTACAATAGGTGCGATATATTCGACTCCAAACGCGCACTTCTTGGTACACATGTCTTTTTTAATATAGGATAAAGAGGCAATTTCTTTAATATATATCAAATGTTTTTATTGCAACTTTTTTGTAAAATTATTTTTGTCATATTATTTTTGTTATACATATTTATTACATCTCATGTATCTTATAAGCAAGAATTACATGTATGAATATCACGGATGAGCAAACTAGTTAATATCGAAGGAAGTACCAGGAATCAGACGCAAAATCCACTTCGAAGTGAATTTCAGATACTTGCGCTGGCCGCAACTGACCGACCTGTTACCGCTCCGCTTTAGGAAACGAGCAAAAGCACTTCCGGTTTGGAAGGGAACACGGTCGCACAGGTTAATCCGGTTTAATACCGCACGCAAAAATACGACAAGCCGTATTAAGGTATTATACAAATTTTGCTGCCATTTACCGTCGCGGCTGATGATTTGCACTGGCTCGGTGTTAGCGTCCACTCTTTTTTGCACAGACAGAAATCTTTCTCACTGCCGCGAGAAAATCTTTTCAGTTTTTTTTCGAGTGTCTCAAAAGCGATAATGCAAAATTTTCATATTTGAGAATATAATTTCTCTTCTTCCAATCGATGTTGACTGATACGCATTAATCCGACCATTAATTATATGAAAACGATAATTCATTGCGCGATATAAAATATTCCATATTGCTGATTTAATTTTGCGACAACGTGTTACAGGGATAGTGTAGTAAAATTAACATGTGACAAATTGAAATTAATTATCAGACATGTATAAAAATACATCAAAATTGCGAATGTTACGATGTGGACTTAAAGGAAACAATAAAACATTATAAACTTTATTTAATTTCAAACATCAATTGCATTATGTGTGTAAAACGACGGATTTTTGCCGGACTTATTGGTAATGTTCTCTTTGTACGTATCGTACCTCACTTCCACCACCGAACAGCGCTCCAACATCGCTTCACAAAGGGAGAGAACGTCGTCTATTCGACGACAAGCGAATAAAAAGCGGCAGGAAAATCTGTGCCTCTGAACAAGAATTCGATAACACGGTTTGTCGCTAAAGGACACTGACAACCGCTAGAGTCCCTGGAAATAAGAGTCTGGCCAATGTTGTCAAACTTTTCATTGGTTCTGAAACAAAATGGCGGAACCAATGGATAACGTTATAGCCACACATTAAATTTGATTTAAATAACAGTATGCCTGTTCATGGTGGTAGCATTTTTTGCTCTTATAATCTTCTCTTTCTTTCTTTTCCTCCAATGCCCGAATATATATCTTATTTTACGTATAAAATTGGTAATTTAAAGTAATATTAACAAATTAAAACAGCCAACTACGCAACAACCAGTCATTTTCTGCAAAACAAACACATAAATAAATTTGCAATTATTCTATCAAATTGTTAACAGAAGGTTAGAATGTCATTTTTTGTTGCACAGTGTCTGTACATACCTATTTTTCTATCATAGGTTTTATGTCCAATTTCTCCACTTCTGAATAAGTTTTAGATAAGATACAATATATGTTTTTATATATTTCTTTAAAGAATAGCTATCGGGAGATATAAGGAAATCGGCCTTATACGATATAGAATACGATATATATAGTAATTATCGACGCCATTTTGTTTCAGATTAAACATTGGCCAGACTCTTATTTCCAGGGACTCTAACAACCGCCGGCAGGCTGCGCCCCCTGCCGTGTCTGGCTATGCACCGATCGAATTCACTGTATCTGAGTCTGAAAAATCTGCGCGATTCGCATATTCGTGTGTTCATATTATATTTTACATTTTGTGTTTTATTCCTTTGTTCATTTTTTTTGTTATTTTTTTATGTTTCATTCCGCTCGAGAAATATCCGAACTCGAGAATATTTAAGTTTTTGATCGTTGAATTGTTTTGTAAGAAAATTCGTTTGGAAAAATTCTAATCTATTTGAAAATAAAAATCTTTCTTGCAATATAAATCTAATACATTTTATTCAATATCAAATATGTAAATATTATTTACGTTTATTTTGTTATTATTTTCTCATTTAAAAACATCGATTAGCGTTAGCTCGAATGATTTCGATCGATCGATTAAGAATCGGCATCGAGTTTTTCGCCGATTTTCCAAAAAAAAAACGCTTCAGGCTAGAATGACGTAACGCTTTCGCGAGATGCTAATAATCATCTCCGAGCCGAACTTTGAGACGCGAAACTGTTGACTCTATTCGCTAAGCTGTCCCGGCTAATATTCCCTGTATTTCATATGTCGTCAAAACCGCGGCGTTATCTGTTACACGGCGCGTTAAGCGACATATTAAACGCTGTAGGCGTTTTCCGTGCGCGGCGCGGCGCGTCAAAGATAATCAGGTCGCGTCGTGTTTTCGATAAACTTTACCCGTGACGCAATTATCCCGCATGGTTTTCGATTTCGGCGGCGCGGCACAAGAGAGACAGAGAGAGCGAACGGGGTAGTATGTAATCTATTTAACTATCAAGCGAGAATCCCAACCGACGCGCGACGTTCGCGAATAAATAGCAAATGTTTCCATGCTTCGCGTGTGGCGCGTGTTTGCTTAAATTTTGCGCACACCGTATGTGTATCGCAATATTGTATACGTACACGCAAAAGCACACGTACACAGTATCAAAAATTGGAATGTGAACACAATCGTGTGATGTAATGACAATAATTAATCATTCGATAATAATTAATCATTAGTAGAATAAATTTGTTTCTCACACTGGGACTGTTTTCCCAGTGATTGAGAAAATGATTACGTTCGCGACGCAAAGATGTTTCTTCTCTGGAACACGACTGATTTAAGTCAGAGGAACTTGAAGGCGTGGCGTGTTCCAATTAAGTGAAGAATCTGTTATGCAAATCGAGCGCTATCGATTACACTTTCAACGAAGCGCCACATTGAATCTTGCGACAAACACCCGAGAGAAAGAGAGAGAGTAACGAAAGGACTCGTGTAGCTTTGTAACTTCTTCTTGATTTTATATTTGTGTGCCCGAGAAACAAATAAATAATTTTCATTACAATACTAAACAATAAAATGCAACATGTAAAAACGCGACTACTGAAGGTGTTACGTTTTAACGAGTCGGAGTATTCGCGTTACATTGCTGCAATCGTCGCCACGCTTGAATTTCTCAAACGCAATTGAATTGTTACGAAGACAACGCTTTCTGTGTTTCACTCAGTCAGCGGTAACAGGTTTGATTCAGTAGAAACTCAGGCTTGTGATTTCCCCGAACTTACTTGTTAGATGTGCGCGCATACATACATACGCGGTAACCCTCCGGCCCTTTCCGTTTGACTATTGACTACTTTAATTAACCGTCAATTAGTTAGCGTTTACGTCAGCGAGGTGTGTGCGGCGAAGCAAGCGAGGTCGCTAAGCAGCGGTCGGTCGTCGCACGTCAAAAAGCGGCAACAGCGGCGGTGCTTCGTCGCCACGCTTGAATTTCTCAAACGCAATTCGCGACACGAAGAGAAACATATTTATGTCGGGATATTGCCGTATGCACGTGAAAACATAATAAATCAAACGGCGACGTTCCGCGCCACGCAGAGTCTCTCACAAAGAAAATCTTTGCTAACGGCGCCTTATTATCATTCCCTGTCATGCGACATGAATATAATAAACGAGAGCTTCATTGAACGCGCGCGCGTTTCTTCCCCGTCGGCGCGTTGTATTTTCACCGGGAGAAATTCTATATCGGTTTCCCTTTGATATCACGCGAGACAGGAAATACCGCCGTCATTTTTATTACCGCAAATCTTTCTCTTCATTTATCCCTCATATCCGATTGTCGATATCGAGAGAGAGAGAGAGAGATAGTTTTGTTCTCTCGCGCGAGCATTTTTAGTACGTAGAAAAAAAAGTTGTATGAACGTAGACAACACGTGAGCGTCAACACGAACTCTCGCTCTTGTTTATACTACGATTTCGTTCTTCTGTTGTTTTCGACAAATCCTCTAGTATAAACATTGCGCCTGTGTTTTTACATTTGTTGTGTCTCTCGTATTTTTAACGCGTATAACGATCTATTTGACGCTTCAATATTTGATCAGTTAAACAAAAAATAATGCTAATGTACACGCGCGTATGTACGCGCGCGTGCGAGGACGCATTTTCTGAGAGAGGGGAATTGTTTTTTGTTTTGTTTTTTTTTTTGTTTTTTTTGTTTTTTTGTTTTATATATATATATATACTCGCGTTCAGTCTCTCGAGCAGCAAAATTGTAAATCGATACTCGACAGACGAGCTACGATATGTCGCTCGGCTTCTGGCCGAAACGCGACGCGGCGCGGCCTTTACCAAAATCGACGGATAGCCGTATCCGGTTGTTGAAAGAGCTCCTTCTGCAGTACACGATCTGCCAAAACGGCATAAGCTGCTCTCTCTCTCTCCATTTTTTTTTCGTGAACACGAACCCAGCTATCATTCGTGTTCGACGAGTACCGAGCACGCGAACACAACTCCTCTGACCTTTTTTTGCGTTCACTCGCGCGCGTAAAAGTTTCGCGCAATTAAATTAGAAAATTATTCAACGTTTACGCGTGAAAATAATTGTACGTACGTACACGCGTGTATGTACGTAACGATATGTTTCTCTTCTTTTTTTTTACAGTACATACAAAGACACTTAATTACAAAAATATCATTTTTTTACGGTTAGAAAAAGAGCACTTAATTTTATTTACACTACGATACCGACCACATGCCTGATTTGATTTTAAATATTATTAAACGAGTTAATTAAAAAACTCCTCGTGGCATCGGAAACGCGCGTCCGAGAACGCGCGAGGCACGTGCGCTGCGGCGTGTTAACGAGATTTCAACTTTTTGATTTCAGTGCGAGAAGTTACGTTGTCCGAACTCAGGGACTCGATAGCGAGGTTACGAGACAGAGTGAAGCTCGTATGCAGGACGAGGGGCTCGCCACCCCCGAGAGTACACTGGCTGAAGAACGGTGTACCGCTGTATCCCCGAAGAGGCCTCAGAATTCAGCACAAACGGTGAGTCCCAATCGACCTTAACCGCGGGCGTCGGTTCCGACGCAGCTTTCGCCCCTTCCTCCCTCTTTCCCCATTTGACGTCAGCTTTCGGCAACGACGTACTCGGTAATAACACGTCGGAGCAAACTCAGACAACGAGCAGTTAATTTTAGGGTATCCGCAACAGCGGCGAGTATGTTGTTACCCCCGCAAGCAAATTCGCGCAGCCCCGCGTTTAACGTCTAAACTCGGAATGTTATTGATACACTACTGTGTGTGTTGTCTGTCCGTCTCGATGTTGTCAGACACGATAGAACAGACTTATCGATACATTGATTTTGTAAGAAATCGAATTAATATTACATTAAATGTAATGAGTGATTATTTGCTTTTAAACATGTTCTCTTATGTTAACAACGCGCGAGGAAACTTTCTTCGAAAAAGCGTCAAGATACGAATCGTCACGGAAATCGGACAACTCTACGGAGTTGGATAGGGAGGAGGAGGAAATGTGTGTCTTTCTCACAGTTCGATGGATTTTAACGAGCTCTCGAACTCGCGCTTGCAAGTATATTCGACAACTTCGTTCGCGCGCGTCTAGCAACCTCGAAAACAGCGCGCGTCCAATTCCCGCGTACTTATACTATAGTCGGATACAAATGTAAAAAGCAGTCATCATGAAAATTGCTTATATATTGCGTATCTTCTCGTCGGAGAAACTTCGAGCGACGCGAGACAATTACACGGCACACACGTTTTCCCTGCGTCGCGTTAACGAACTGCGAAGTTTCGACGCATCGATCTAAATTCAAGTGTCTTTCCTATATTCTTAATTGTGTCGCGCATCGCGTAAATTAATATTTTGCTTTACAGTTCTATAGAACAGAGTTTCCAAAAAGATATCACACTTATAAAAGTGAGCGCAAATTTTAAATTTGTGTAAAATTAGAAGATAACACAATGTGGTAAAACGCACTGTGAGTGTGCTTGGCGCCTCTTTTTACTTTTTTTTGAAATATATTTTCACATCAAAAATATTAACAACTAAACCTAGCAGCTCTCAAAAATATTTTTGTTATTTTTTTATAGCATACATATGTTTCTAAAAAAATTTCGTGTTTTTAGTTTAAAAACATGTTTATCTGCACTTTTTGACTTTCTTTTTAATTTTTCTGATTCTGAAATTATACGAATGCAAGATAGAACCTCCGCATGTAATAACATTATCGTGCGCGTATCGCGCTGAAAGCATCGCACCGAGAAAACAGAAAAACCACTCAACCCTTTACACACATAATTTACTTCCGCCTATGTTTGCTTCTTGCATGAAAATATTAAAATACATGTATGCTTTTTTTCCGTGTGTAACACACACCGGCGGCAATTTGCTTAGAAGCTATTAGAGTACTTCGGAATGTGTTTGTGTGCGTGTGTGTGTGTGTGTGTGACATCTGTTTAATTAGTCGTTAGATCGCGCGCGGTAAACCTGTGCTTCCGGATTTATAACGACAGGCCTTGGAAGCTGTAAAATGAATTTTGTCAATCGTAAATCAATTAGCGACATCGAGCTCAACAAGTGCGTGGAATACGTGCGTGTATATGTTGTCACATAGTCCGGTATGTAATTGCTGCTACAGAACGCAACACGTCCGTCATAACATTAGCCGAAGTTTGACCGCACAATGTTTTTCATCACACAGTTGACGTGATTATGTGATGCAAACCAACGTGTAATAGCCGAAATCCACACACGTGATGGCTTTCAATTTATCATAATCGACATTAATTACAATCGACGTCACGTTCGATTCTGGCATTGAAAAAATTCCGCGATCATCAAGTCAGTCAAAATATAGATCGATGCGATGCTGATTTGTCGATATCAGTTAGTGTGGAAATCGCATCACGTTATCACATCTTTATTGACTTCTCGGTAATCTCTTGCAAAACGTCACATATTTTGTCGAACGCTGCACGTCTATTTAATCATTTTTAGTTCGCGGATTATTCGGGATGATGAAACAAATTACGTTTCCAGAAATTTGCTCGTCTGCAAGTCTCCAGAGTGTTGAATTTTAACGTGTGTACGTGGGCATGATCAATCATCATGAAATTTAATTATGATTGGTGCAACGCTGTCTAATTTAAGTTACTTATCGACGACAGCTCAGACGCGTTATATCTCTTATAAATAAAAAAACAAAGCTATGTGAAATTACAATACATATTTATGGCTATAATTTCATTTGCTTTGAAAATTTTATTGCAAAAAAAAACTTCAAAGCGCGAGAAAATATCGTTCGTGTATAATTTAAAAACGTCTCGTCGAGACACGTCGTTTTTAAATATAACTATACAGCACGTTTTCGCAGCGCGGATCTGTCTAGGTTTTCTATATATATTTACGGACGGCGAGAACTTTTTTAACGAAAAGAAAATAAATTGAGAAGAATATCCAGCCGTGATCGACGCTTCTGTGAAAACGTGAGCGCGCGCGCTACATCCGTCCGAGGGAAAAGAAAGAAGACAGGATCTAGAAGACGGGAGAAGAATTCTCGGTTCGGAAAACTCGCCGGGGAGCTCTCCAGCCACTTCTCTCTCGTCGACCATAATCTCGAGCGTGCCATAAATTTGTTTAGCGCGATGCACTTTTCCTCGGCGCGTAAGTCTCGGAATAATCTCGGAGCGGACCATAAATTCGCCGTCCGCTTGCATTCGCCTTTCTCGCAGGACCACCCGTTATATTCCGGTTGCGATAGAAACAGGACCACGTGATGAGAACTCCACGGAAGGGACGCGATCTCGCGCCCTGAAAGACGTTAAGGCGATTTGCACTTTGTAAAATCTCTCGCGTCCATGCTCGATGACGTTTCTTCCGCGTCCTCGTCGTTTTCGACATCGTGAAACACCAACGAGTTTCCTTTCTTAAAATTAAGTAGACAAAAACGAAGAAATACTTGTAAAAGAAATTTTGATGGCCGAATAATTAAATATTATGTGAATTATTGCGCAAAGATTCAAAAATATTTTCTTTGCAATTGGAAAGAAATACGAAATGTGTTCCCTAACATATGTTTGTTAGTTTTCGTTGAGCTATTCCGCAAACATAATACAATAACAATTAAAACTCGCATAAATGCGAGAAGGTGACACTGTGTTGCAAAACAGTGATTCTTGACTAGAGATTTACAGAGGTGATTTTTTTTTAATTACTGAGCTCTTTCTTTCAAGAGTACATCGTACTACAACTTTAATGTACAGAAACAAGAAATTAATTTTTTTTTTATAAAATAGAAGAAAAATTAAATATGTAGAGAATGTGCAAAAAAGCAAAGCTCGGAAAATGCCACAAGAAAAATGCTACTAAAGGAAAAGAAGGAAGAACCGTTGCAGAATGACGGAAGGAAGAAGCAAATCCGACGAGTCGTAAACACATCCTCGCGGTGACGAGCGTCGTACTGTTTCTCGTAGCGATCTTACGACCTCGTAGCGGCCATGTTTCCCGATGCCGTGAGTGTCTTTCCGTCATAATTTCCAATTACGGTCCCCGCGCGATGATATGATCGAGAACCGTGTGTTGTGCGTTGCGTATGTGCGCGCCGGTGTCAATGTCGTTTGGCTCGTAATCGTTACCGAATACAACGACCTCGTAAAATCGAACGGTCCGCGCTATTTGATACGAGTCATATGTGCCAAGGCACCGAGATCTCTCTCCTTTCCCGCCTCGTTGTCGTCGTCTTCGTCGTCATCGTCGTTGTCCACCGCGCACTCCGCTCTTCACGAACGCCACGAACGTAAAACTGTCACCCGCCGCTTAAGCTTGTCTAGACTGGGCGGCGTGTATTTTATAGACGATATAGTTTTCCCACTGGACGCGCGAAAATATATTCCCCTGGCCTTTGTGTCCGCGCGATACATCGGTAAATCTCTGCTGTTCACTCTTTCTCTCTCTCTCTCTCTCTTTCTCTGATACACAGCCCTCGCGTACCATTTCGTTTGGCAGGTATCGCCTTCGTCCAAAGAGCGAGAGAAATATTGGGATTTCGTTTGACGAACGCCGATGCTCGGCTTGAAAATAAACTCGTAATCTTGTCAAATCACCGATGTGATGTAAGAAAACAAAATGTACGCGGATGTATATGAGCGAGTTTAAAAGACACGTGTCCTTATATATATATATATATATATATATTCACGTTTAGAGTCGCGGGAATAAAATTATATAAGTTGGCAGATCCATGTGTCCTGTTTTTCGAAATACTGTCTGGAGATGATATACTTCCCCGCGGGAAATTGAATTTTTCCACGTTACAGCGACCTATTCTGTTTCTGGAACTCGTGCGAAGAGATACAAGTGAGGAGCGCTTCCTCCATATTTCATCCAGCGCGAAGAATATAAATTAACAGAATCGAAGCGCGAAAAAAATGATGATTTCTGAGAAGCTAAAAAAATTCCATGTGATACATATGTATCGTATAATAAAGTGACGATACTTCAAAGAAATTCAAGAAACAGCGAGCGCGTCACTAGAATATCGGAGTAAATATAAGCGCGCATAACTGCGCGAATATCGATGGGGAGCTTCTTTTCAAAGCGATGAGAGATTCAAACACGATGCGTCAGATGCATCGGTAAAGAGAAATTCCGGCGTTCTTCTTTGCGTCCGGCGCGGTGGGAGCTTAATGATTTCCATGAAATTAACTTCGAAGCATCGCGAGATCGTGATGTAATATCGTTACGTTCGGATCGAATTCCGTGATCTGTCGGATCGCATTCAACTTTCGCGAAATCTGAATCGAAATCTCTCGAGGACACGCCGGCGGAACTTGCAGTTCGCTTTGACCATCGAGGGAAGCGGCTTTGATGTCGCGTGTAATGGAGTTTTACTTCCGCAGTAAGGAACGAGAAGAAAACTTCACGCGAGAAGAGAGCGTAGCGGGGTGAAATCAGGGAAAAGGGAAAATCAGGGTCGGGCGTCGCTGAGGGAGAGATGCGTCCGGGTGCGCGCAGAAAGAAAGAA